GGGTTTTCTTTGGGGAGATTTTCCTCAAGCCCTTTTAATATCCCTTTTTTTTAAAACCTTTTCCACTTTTACACTTCGACAGGTCTCCCCCCATTCTTTTGTCTACAAAGGGAAAGTAAATAAGGTCTTCAATCTTTCATCAAAAAGGGGATTTCTAATGCAGTATTTAATTTTGTCTCCTACGCTGAATGTTTTTTAAAGAATTTATGTCAAAATTTGTAATAGGGACCAGAATTGAGCGGGTAATTAGGTGACCTTTCTAATGATGTAAAAGCTGCAGTATGACCTCTGGGTTTTGTTTTTACACTTCTTGAAAAACCCAGTAATTATTTGCCTTATTACGACGCTTTGGCATTGCGCTTGGTTTAAGGGTTTCTGTTACCATAACCCCAATCCTTTTGCAACGTAGGTAAGGGTTTACTTATTTTTAAATTATAAGTGCTAGGGGGTTTTGGCACTCCCGGCTCAGAAAACCCTTTATTATCTACATTTAACGCATCTGCCACTTTTTTCTGACCAAGATAAGTTTGTCTAAAACCCCCTGAAGTTTCCCCAACATCTACGTTTGAAAACAATTTTCCTACCTACTTCTGTATCGGAATTTGCTTTCACTGTAATTTCTTTCAAAACATTTATTAATTAAAAAAAAAAAATACCGACATTTTTTATAAACACTTAACATTAGGTCTTTTTATTTGAAAGTTTCGCCTCAACAGAGGCCCTTCAGTCGGGCGAAATTAAAAGCAAAAATAGAAAATTAATCATCCTCACCCTTTTTTTTTTAAATTTTGAGGGTAATAGTTGGAAAGGCTTGTTCCATGTATAAAAATATAAGATGAATGAAGATGGCTTTTTATACCCAAAATGAACGTAGCCACTGGGAGGTAAGGGGAAAATGAGTAGAGTCGGTTTTTCAAATCCCGCCCCTCCACTTAGGAATTGTGAAGGATTTATTTGTAAAGATACCCTTTTTTGCATTCCCAAGATTGAACATTAAAAAAATATAAAATCCCAGGGTTTTTTGGTAAAACACATATGCAAATTATTCTTTTATTTTAAAAATTTTTCGTAAATAGGGTTCTTCGTGTAAAAAATGAAAAGAAATATTTTAAAAAATGAATCATCCCCATACCCTTTAAAATTTTAGGGGCATCCTTATTTTGGGGGCTTGTTCCAATATGAAAAATTGTTTTAAAAACACCTTAAAAGTCCGAATTTCAAAATTTCCCAGTCAAAAATTCCCAAAATATGCTAAAGTTAAAGTCTCCTAGAATTACTACATATCGTGCCTTGTGGCCCTAACAATTTCCTCCCATAGTAGTCTCCCTGGTCCCTATCTAAATTGGGGACGGTATATCACACAAAAATTTAAATTTTTCATGCCCCTCTGAAAATTTCTATCCAACAGACTTGTATGTGTTACTTCAGACTTAATACCCGTTTTTATGCAACAGTTCAAGCGATCTCTGACATACAATGCCACCCCACCCCCCTTTCCGACACTTCTATCTACTTGGAAAAATTTTAAAAACCCGGGAATGTGACTTTTCTGCAGGCATGTCCCGACTTTTTTATTTAAACCACGTCTCAGTAATGGAAAATACATCTATGTTACCTGCACTAGCAACTAGTCTCAACTCGTCCATCTTATTCCTACACGCGACTATTTGTGTTAATAAATATTTAAAGACCCTCCTCTCTCTTTTACCCTTCCTGCTCCTTTCTGTTATCCCACTAAACCTATTCTGTCCTTGTCAATTAATGCCACTGGTTTTCCCAAATATCCACCTCATTTTGCCTATTACTAGTTCTCCTAGTACTCATATTACTGCCCGGAATTCACAGTTTTCCCGCAAAAACCTATACCACTAACTATTCCTAGTTTAAAGACCAACAGCTCCTCCACTGCTTTGGGCCAGTGTTCCCACCCCACCTGATAAGTGAAACCCCGTCCCGGGCATACATGTCATTTCTGCCATAAAAGAGGTCCAGTTGTCAATGAATTTACCGCTTTTTTACAGTATTTGCCCAGCCGCAATTGACACCAATTGCTTGGGACAACATTCTTTTCCAACCCTCTTTTTGGGCAAAATGCCACTATGACAGGTTTCCCCCCTTCCCCCAAAATATTCATTGCTGACCATACTGCTAATAGGTCCACTCCTAGTCTGCCAACATCGTTGCCTCCCACTGAGCAGAAATGGATTCCCTTACCTTATGATGCCCATCCGACGGCTAAAAATACCCTTCCCCCACCCCCAGGAAAAAAACACTCTTGCCTCCTACCCTACCTTCAAGCAAATCCCCTTTTCCATGTACCTAATCGGGCACCCAACAATAACAATGTTTTTCCCTTCCCTTTGGCGTCGTCCGTCGTGATGCCCGAGTAGTCGACTCACATTCGCCAGGTAGCATTACACCACTTTAAAATTTCGCAAGACGTTCTCGAGGTTTCTTTGGGGTTTCTAGGAGTCTCACTCACGTCTGCCAAGCTTCCTTTGGGTGCCTTTGGGGGGCATTCCCAGTAGAACATCACATTCGTCGGGTGACCGAGAAGAGTTGGAAGTTTTCCAGGTTTTCTGTTTCTGTTTTTCTGCCTCCCAACCGTTTTCTTGACTTCATTTGGGTTCCCAGGGGGGGGGGGGGGGGCCACTGACCAAGCTCCCTTTTTAACCTGGGGACTCACAACGGGAGGATTACTACGAACCTCTTTTCTTCTCCTTTAATCGCCGATCTCCAGCTTGACTCTGACTCTTCCCCCGCAGCGGTAAAGCTGCTAAAAGGGTTTGGCACCCCGGGGTTCGTTTCACAGAGAGCACACAAACAGGTCTTCAAAGCTAATACACGTCACCACAGAGCTAAGTACACTCACCATCGCTCTGTTGTTCCATCATATTCCCCCTTTTGGCTCCTCAGTTCGTGGGGGGTTATACATCACTGCAATACTCCCTTTTTTTTCCCCAACTGAATTTAGACTATGTACCCCCTTTTCTCCACTCCCCCGTCATATGTGTGTGTTGTGTGTGTGTGTGGGGTGTGTGTGTGTGTGGTGCCGAATACGAAAACTGGTCGTTATAAAGAATCTTTTAAAATTTAAGTCCTTTCTAAAAATTTCTTTACACTTTAAAGAAATAATTTTTCTTTTATGTTAATAGAAAATTAATGATTTTGTACAAAAAAACCCTTTGGAAACTTATTAACCTTATTATAACAAATAAATTTAAATTTTTCGCAATTTAACAAAATATTTTAGAAAATTTTTAAAATTTTTTAAATAATAAAAATTAAATAATTTTTTTTCGCTTCAGTCAGAATGATTTTGGAAATTATTGCATACACAAATTTATCTTTTTCCATATTCGGAAAAAGGGCTTTGCTTTTAAACCAAAAAGCAACTTTTACGTATTTGGGAACGACATATACACTGACAGGTTGTAGATAAAGGGGTTCAGAAACCCGACAGTTATAATTAGACACATGTGCAACCTTGGGTACTTTTTTTGGGGAAACGTTTCGCCCAACAGTGGCTTCTCAGTCCATACAGGAGAAATTTAAAGAACGGGAGGAGAAGGGGAAAATCAGCCCTCAACCCTTTGAGTCGATGGGGTCAGTTCATAAATCTGAACAATCGACTCAAGGTTGAGGGATGATTACCTCATTTCCTCCTGTTTTTCAAGTTTCTCCTACGTAGGCGATGAACCCACTGTGGGGCGAAACGTTTCCCTCAATAAGATACCCAAGAGTTGAAATGTGTCTAATTTACTGAAAGGTTTTTAAAAACGTATTTTTGTTTATAGGTTTTATATTAATTAACCAACCTACACCTTTGAGTTCCAAAAAAAAGGGGTGTGGTTCAGTGTAAAAATTTCCATGTTTCCCAGTGTATAACCCTGATTCCCCCTGTAATACCAGAAATTTTTTCCCGTGTATATACCCTATATCCTCAAGTATAACCATAAAAACCTCAGTGTATATACCTATACCTCAGTTATATACCAGTATCCTAGTGTATAACCATGATATCCTCTGATATACCCTGTTCCCATGTTTTTACCATTAACCCCAGTGTTATACCATGATATCCCGTGTAATACCTTATCCCCTGATATACCATGAAACCCGTGTATTACCATGATATCTTCAGGTTTTTTTCCCTGTATCCTCAGGTATATACCATGAGTTTATCTGCACCCATTTTCGAATCAATTTTTTTTGTTTGATAGTAAACAGGTAGGATCGCTAGTCACAGGCTTCATCCTGTTAAAATAATAACCACCTTGGTTAACCACCTGATTCGCCTGGCCACCTTAACCCCATCACCCGACACCATGACCACCCCCAACACACTTTCATAAAAACTACCCTTCATCATGCTCCATGTCACCCTGACCCCCACCCCTTTCATAAACCCTTATAAAACCATCTCCCGTCCCAAAAAACCACCACCCCTTTCTAAACACTACCATTAAAACAATGCTCCATGTCACCAGACCACCACCCCTTTCATAAACACTACCAACTCAAGCTCCCGTCACCATGACCACCACCCCTTACATAAACTATCCATTACATCAAAAGCTCCAGTCCCAGCCACCCCACTTACAAAAAACTATCCATTAACAATCTCCATGTCACCAACCACCACCACTTACTAAACACTACCATTACATCAAGCTCCTGTCACCAGACCACCACCACTTACATAAACAAATCCTTCATCAAAGCTCCCTGTCACCATGACCACCACCACTTTTCAAAAAACATCCTTTCATCATGCTCCATGTACCCCGCCACCACCACTTCATAAACACTATCCATTACATCAATGCTCCATGTCACCCTAACCACCACCAAAACTCTTACATAAAAAACATCCATTACATCAATGCCCCAGATCAAAAACCAAAAAAACTGTGAATCCTTCGACCCCCCTTCCCACCATGTGTTTTAAACATGTCGAGCGAAGCAAAACCACTTGAACTTTCAATTACCAATCGCAGAATCTGGACGCTCTGCACGCCACCGGCGCTGACTACCCCGGGGTGAAAGGGACCAGTTTCGGGGACTAGAGACCGGAGGGTGGCGCTCTTATTTTTCATACTACTCCGACAGACCCGGCCTGGGTCTTGTTTTTCGGCATCGTTAAGGTAGGTAGGGCACTTTAAAGAAAACTAAGCAGGAACATCAGAGGCCTGTTTTGGGCCCTACTAGGAGGTCCCTTTACAATTTACCCACAAAAAGAAAATTTGCCCCAAACCCCAATTTTTTAAAGCTACCCCCAAACAAAAGCTTTACAAAACAATTTTCTTTTGTGAAGTCCCCCTCAAAACCAACCCCCCTCACCCGGGCCTCAAGGGCCAGAGGGCCCTTTTGCAGTGTTCCCACACTTATGTTCTTATGAAACTACCCAAGGTAAGGTCCTAGGTCCTAGATAATGAAGGTGTCCCGCAGTTAAGTTGGTAGGGCACTCAGCTCACACATTAAGGTTCGTGGTTCGATACCAGGTACGGGTGGAAACTTTGAAATTGGGTCAGTCTCTTTGAAACACCTTGTATAAGAGGAAACTCCAAAATATTTAATAAATAGATAGCAAAATAGCACCTACTCACTCCCACCTAACTTGCACTTAGGAGAAAAACTTATGTCGTTGTTTCGGACCGACTCGGACCATTAACTAGCCACACTGAACGGCGAAGGGAAGGCAGCCAGTATAATATAATATAATAATATATATATATATATATTATATATATATATATATATTATATATATATATATATATATATATATAAATGTATGTATGTATGTATATGTATATATATATATATGTATATATATATATATATATATATATATATATATATATATATATATATATATATAAATATATATTATATATATATATATATATATATATATATATATATATATATATAGGTAGTAGGTTGGTAGACAGCAACCACCCAGGGAGATACTACCGTCCTGTGTAGTAGGTTGATAGACAGCAACCACCCAGGGAGGTACTACCGTCCTGTGGTAGTAGGTTGGTAGACAGCAACCACCCAGGGAGGTACTACCGTCCTGTGGTAGTAGGTTGGTAGACAGCAACCACCCAGGGAGATACTATCGTCCTGTGGTAGTAAGTTGGTAGACAGCAACCACCCAGGGAGGTACTACCGTCCTGTGGTAGTAGGTTGGTAGACAGCAACCACCCAGGGAGGTACTACCGTCCTGTGGTAGTAGGTTGGTAGACAGCAACCACCCAGGGAGGTACTACCGTCCTGTGGTAGTAAGTTGGTAGACAGCAACCACCCAGGGAGGTACTACCGTCCTGTGGTAGTAGGTTGGTAGACAGCAACCACCCAGGGAGGTACTACCGTCCTGTGGTAGTAGGTTGGTAGACAGCAACCACCCAGGGAGGTACTACCGTCCTGTGGTAGTAGGTTGGTAGACAGCAACCACCCAGGGAGGTACTACCGTCCTGCCAAGTGAGTGTAAAACGAAAGCCTGTAATTGTTTTACATGATGGTAGGATTGCTGGTGTCTTTTGTCTGTCTCATAAATATGCAAGATTACAGGTACGTCTTGCTACTTTTACTTACACTTAGGTCACACTACACATACATGTACACGTTTATTTATACACACTCATCTGAGTTTTCTTTGATTTTATCTTAATAGTTCTTCGTCTTATTACTTTTCCTTTTATATCCATGGGGAAGTGGAATAAGAATCTTTCCTCCGTAAGCCATGCGTGTTGTAAAAGTCAACTAAAATGCCGGGAACAATGGGCTAGTAACCCCTTTTCCTGTAAAGATTACTAAAAAGAATAAGAAGAAAATTGTCAAAGTGGGAAGTCTGAATGTGCGTGGATGTTGTGCAAATGATAAGAAAGAGATGATTGTGGATGTTATGAATAGAAGAAGCTGGATGTCCTGGCTTTAAGTGAAACAAGCTGAAGGGGGTGGGAGAGTTTCAGTGGAGAGGAATAAATGGGATTAGGTCAGGGTTTCAAATAGACTTAGAGCTAAAGAAGGAGTAGCAATAATGTTAAAGGATAAGCTATGGCAGGAAAAGAGGGACTACAAATGCATAAATTCAAGGTTTATGTGGAGAAAAATAAAGATTGGATGTAAAAAAGTGGGTTATAGTAAGCGTGTATGCCCCGGAAAAAAGGGGAATGTAGAGGGAAAAGGAGTTTGGGGGAAATTTTGATAAATGGGGGGGAGTTTTGAATCAAGTGTGAGGTAAGGGGTTGGGATTTAAATGCAAAGTGGGTTAAAAATTTATGGAGGGAGTAGAAAGGTAAATTTGGGGGTTTTGAGGGTAAATGTAAATGGGGGCCTTTAATTGAGCTATGTGTGAAAGAAATTTGGTAATAAGTAATACTATTTATGAAAAAGGTAAAAAAATATAAAAGGGTATGATGTAGCCGTAATAAAGTAGTTTTTTAGATTATGTATTGGGGGATAAAGGTTGGGGGGTGGCCCCGGATTACTTTTTAAAAGGGGGGAACTGAATATCGGTCATTATTTAGTTTAGCTACAGTTGAGTAAGAGGAGTGGGAAAAGAGGGGGTGGAAACAACAAGTAAGAGGGAGGTAAAGGTATAAAAAAGGGGGGGAAAGTTGGGCAAGATATAAGCGATTTTGGCAAAAAGGGGGGCTAGTGAAAAGATAGGGGGGGGGGTTTAAAAGGGGTTTGGAATATTTTTAAAAAAAAAAAATGCAGTATTAAATGGGGGGCAAAGTTTTGGTTATAGGAGGGGGGGGGGCAGGGGGAAAGAGGAGTGATTGGTGGAATGTTTGGTAAAGGGTGGAAAAAAAGAGAAAAAGGTAGTTACGAGGGTTTTAAAAACAAAGTGTTATAAGAAGACAGAGTATATGGGGTAAAAAAAAGGGTGAAAGTGGAGGAGTGCAAAGGGAGCAGTGGAGTGGGGGGCACTGTCAAGAATTTTTTTGAAAAAAAAAAAATTTTTTGGGAGTGAGTTAAACAATTTTAAGAAAAAGCCTAGGGGAAAGTATGGTTTGTCCGTTAAAAAAAAGAATAGGGGAGTTAGTGATGGGGGGTGGAGGTATTAGGTAGATGGGGGAATATTTTTAGAACTTTTAATGTTGAGGAAGAAAGGGAGGCGTAAATTTTAGCCTGGCCGGGGGGTTACCCTCTTTGGGGTGAAGAAGGCAGAGTAATGTGGTGGAGGTTTCGGAGGCTTACGTAGAAAGAAAAAGGGGGTAAACAGGGAACTGATGGGATCATGACAGAAAGTTAAAAGCAGGGGGGGATATAGTGTTGGAGTGGTTGGTACTTTTGTTTAATAAATGTATAAAAGAGGGGAAGGTACCTAGGGATTGGCGGAGAGCTTTGTATGTCCCTTTATATAAAGGGAAAGGGGACAAAAGAGATTTGTAAAAATATAGGGGAAAAAGTTTACTGAGTATACCAGGAAAAGTATACGGTAGAGTTATAATTGAAAGAATTAGAGGAAAGACAGAATGTAGGATTGCGGATGAGCAGGGAGGCTTCAGAGTGGGTAGGGGATGTGTAGATAAAGTGTTTACATTGAGCATATATGTGAACAGTATTTAGATAAAAGTGGGGAAGTTTTTATTGCATTTATGGATTAGAAAAGGCATATGATAGAGTGGATAGAGGAGCAATGTGGCAGATGTTGCAAGTTTATGGAATAGGTGGAAAGGGTTACTAAATGCTGTAAAGAGCTTTTATGAGGGATAGTGAGGTCAGGTTAGGGTGTGTAGAAGAGAGGGAGAATATTCCCCGGTAAAAGTGGGTCTTAGACAGGGATGGTGTAATGTCCCCATGGTTGTTTAATATATTTTATAGATGGGGTTTGAAAAAGAAGTAAATGCTAGGGTTTTTGGGGGAGAGGGGTGGGATTAAATTATGGGGAATCAAATTAAAAAATGGGAATTGACACAGTTACTTTTTGCTGATGATACTGTGCTTATGGGAGATTCTAAAGAAAATTGCAAAGGTTAGTGGATGAGTTTGAGAATGTGTGTAATGGTAGAAAGTTGAAAGTCAACTAGAAAAAAGTTTAAAGGGGATTTAGGTATCAAATGATTTAGATAAAGAAAAATTGGATATCAAATTGGGGAGGAGGAGTATGGAAGAAGTGAATGTTTTCAGATACTTGGGAGTTGACGTGTCGGCGGATGGATTTATGAAGGATGAGGTTAAGCATAGAATTGTATGAGGGAAAAAAAAAGGGGAGTGGTGCGTTGAGGTATTTGTGGAGTCAAAAAAAAGTTGTCTATGGAGGCAAAGAAGGGAATGTATGAAAGTATTAGTACCAACATCTTATAAAGGATGTGAAAACTTGGGTGGTAAATGCAGCAGCGAGGAGACGGTTGGAGGCAGTGGAGATGTCCCGTCTAAGGGCAATGTGTGGGTGTAAATATTATGCAGAAAAATTTGGAGTGTGGAAATTAGGAGAAGGTGTGGAGTTAAAAAAAGCATTAGTCAGAGGGCAGAAGGGGGTTGTTGAGGTGGTTTGGTCTTTAGAGAGAATGGATCAAAGTAGAATGAAATGGAAAGCATATAAATCTATAGGGGAAAGGAAAGAGGGGTAGGGTTCGCCCTCGAAAGGGTTGGAAAGGGGGGTAAGGGTTTTGTGGGCGAGGGGCTTGGATTTCCCGCAAGCTTTGCATGAGCGTTTAGATAGGAGTGAATGGAAGACGAATGAATTGGGGATGACGTTGTTGGAGTGTGAGCGGGTAATATTTAGTAAAGGGATTCGGGGAAACCGGTTATTTTCTTTAGTCGGATTGGTCCGGAAATGGGAAGTCAATGCCTGCACTTTAAAGGAGGGTTGGGATTGGCAGTTTGGAGGGATTGTTGTTTCTTTATCGTATATGTTCTAAACTGTTTTATTTGAGCACCTCTGCAAAAGCGTGAAATGTGGAGTGGGTGAAATGTAAAGATATGAAAAGTTTTTCTTTTTGGGGTTTTCTTTTTTTTTTGGGTCACCCCGCCTCGGTGGGGGACGCCAAATTGTTGAAATATTATAATTTTATTAATTATAATTATATTATTTTATATAAATATTAAAT